TTTTGCCTTGCAATATCATACTCCGAGTTGAGTTTGGTGAGGAACTCAAAAACCTGATTTCTCTCCACCAACCTTCTATATGTTTCTGCATCATTTGTGCAATCCCAAACAACAGTCTCCATCAGATCAATCTCTTAATCTCTTGCCAAAGAGATTTCAGCATAGAGAAATAGATTGCTAAGGGCTTCTCCCCTTGTCTAAGATTATTCACATCATGCTTCAATTTGTAAGCCCAAGAAACATTAAGCTTTTGGAAATAGGTCTCTGTGACACTACCCCACACTTCTTTTGTAGTTTCCATCCACAGGTAATGCTGATTAATGTGTGGTTGCATGGAATTCACTAACAAACCCACTATTGTGTAGTTTTCCTACATCCACCTTTCACAGGTAGGATCATCCTCCTCCGGTTTCTTCTTGGTCCCGGTAATATAACCCCATTTTCCTCTACTACACACATGTATCTTAATAGATTGAAACCAAGCTAAATAATTGGTCCCATCTAGCTTCACAGTAGTTACAGCCCCAAAAAGATTCTCCACCGACCCCCCACATGTCCAAACCCAGAATCTATGGAATATTTGGTCTCTCCTCCAGTTTGCTCCATTGAGTAAACGAATGCAAACAAAAATCAAATAAGTGATTTACTAGGCTAGATTTATTGTTCTAAGCAAAGAACAAATTAGGGTTTCACAGGGTCCTATGGGATGGATACAAAGATAGAAACTTCAACCGCCCTTTCCAAAGGTTCCAGAATTCAATCGGATCGAAACCGCCCCTAATAGAAATCAAAAGGTTACCTCTAGTTCCCAAGTGCTTGGTTCACACTGTCTCTATGACCTGTAACAAGGTTTCTCCAGTTGTATAGGGTTTCTGGGAAAAATCTCCAAGAACCTGCCCTAGGCTTCAACTAAGGATGAAAAACCTCCACAAAACTCTCCAAAAACCTTCCTAACTGGGCCACATAAGTAGTTGATTGATCAATCGACCAGTTCTCCATACACACTATGTATGGACAAAGAAAGGAGAAAAAATTTGAAAGTGAGAACCTGCTCTGATACCAAGTTGAAATTTACACCTATAGTAATTCAGATAATGCAAGAAAAGAAGAAGTTTCAGCAATAGGTTGTGGAAGAGAGAAAAGAAGAATTTGAACCTCTTTCTCTAGCCCCCTTTCATCACTTTTATTAATAATTCTAAGTCTGAGTACAATTACTTGGATGCCCTTAATGGGGCAACTAGCACTAAAGAAATAATTAAAGAAAATAAAAGAAGGCCCATAACTAAGAAACATAACTTTTAAACACTACTTAAAAGAAATAAAGAACAAGGCCCATTCAGCCCATTCTCACTACAACAATGAAGTTTTATCACTTGAAACAGGGTTTTTTTTTCCAAACAGATAGCTAGAGCCAATCTAAAAAGATGAGAGAAAAATGGAAAGGTGACAGATTGACTACAGAAATGCTTAATGGATTAAAAAGTGTGAACAAAATCTCTAATCTATTAGGGATATTAATTTTTTGAAGTTCTCTTATTCATAAATTTTTTAGGAAAATAAAAAATCTTTGCCAACTATTGATGGCTTGATTCAGAAAATTATAGATGCCTAGCCTAGTAATCTTTCCAAAAGATCGTCACTTGCAATCCTAGCACTTTTTTTTTGTTCATAGTAGGAATTTTTGGTGGCTTTCTTCCAGTGGCCTAAATGATTTTCATCCATCCATCTCTTTAGGAGAAAACACCTTCTTCCCTGAAACTTGGTATACTAATATAATTAAAAATCTAGTAATTCAGCCTATGCACCACATACATTTTTAAGGCCATCCTTTGTTGTTACACCTTTCTTTCTCTTGTACATATTTGGGAGAATAGTAAGGATGGTTCCTAGTAGTTTTCGCATGCCTAGGTAAAGCATCAACTAAATGGTGTCCAAGTCATATCTAGTCTAACTTAATAGCCTAATTGTTCTTCTGTTTCCCCTCCTTAATCATGGCAAGACTATCTCCATCACTCTATTCTCCTAAACCTACTCAGGCAAGTACCTATGTGAACTGTCAATTAGTTGCCTAGAGGAATTTAAGGACGTCAGACACCTAGTCATTGACTACTGAAAATTTGTTTATGCCTTGACTACACTATTTGGGGTTGATCGACTGATTACACCCTATTTAAAGTACTGCACTGTTTGGGGTTGATAGACTGATTAGACCCTATTTAAAGTACTGCACTGTTTGGGGGAATCACCCCCTCATTTTCTTTAATATACTGTTTTGCTTACTATCACAGGGATTTAAATTTGAATAAAACAAAGAATGCATTTTCGATTGGAAACTGTGCAGGAGGTTACCATTTAGAATGAGAAGAGAGGGGGTAATTATATATTCATGTGGCAAATTTTACAGGCAGCCATTCTATGGAAGGTTTGTGAAGAAATTAATGCAATGGTTTTAATTTTAATTATCACAGAAAAAAGGCAATCTGAGGGACTTCTTTGACAAGACACAACAACTACAAACTTTGATTGATCTCATCATACTTAGATCCAGTCATTGGATTTATACCGAGGAACTCCGAGATTTTACAATTGATGTTATCAGGATCATTTGTTCAGAGTAATAACTAGCAGATAGAGTGTACCGCAAAAGTCATCTTCTATCAGTGCATAAGCAGTTATACTGAACTTTGATGGCTGTTTCCCTTGGAATCCAAGTTTTTTAGCTACTGGGGTTTCTTTTAGGTAACCAAAAAGAAAGTTCATTCTAGTTCTTTTTGACCCTATTGGGGCTTCAATCAGAGTGGAGATTATGGACTGATAGTGTTGCTTTAGAGGCTGAGGTTAAAGTTCTTGTTTAGCCTATTTGGAACTGAGATTGATGAAAACCACCAGTCTGTGGTTGGCTGAATTAGAGATGGTGGGGAGGGTCTGTGTCTCCTTTAGCATATACTCACAAGTTATGATTGACAAAATGAGAGATGGTGAAGGTCCATGTCTCCCTCAGCATTGTATTCAAGATACCAGACTTTTGGCTGCTAGAGAGAAAATATCTCTCATCTTGAAATAAAAATAAGCCAAGTCCTCAGTTGATAATTTGGCCAGAGATAGTGTAGGCATAATAAAGTTATATTGTTGAACCACAATCCCCTTGTAGGTCATGGTTCTCCTGGATTTTGAATTGTATTTCATTGATTCTTAGTTGTGTTTGGATGGCCTTAGTGGAAAAGCATGGGTTCTACTCCCTCCTTATGAAGGACTTCTTGTATCTCCTTTTCTTTTTCTTGTTTTTTTTGCAATATTTTCTCATCATTGATGAACAAAAATCTTATTATTCACGATTAGTAAAAATATATACATTTCAATTATAAAGCTAATGCATTTGATCTCTTTTGGTCAAAACCATAGTTATTTAGCTAGCAATTTGGTTTTGCTACATGGTTCATAATTCACTAAATATTTTGTTAAATTTAAATTTTAGAGGAAACTATCTAATGTAACTATATAATTTGTCATTCCAATTTAAAGTTGCATTGATTTTGTGGATTGGTAACTATGGATAGAGGGGGCTAAATCTTTAGCAATTAAGAAATAGCACATCTATAGATTGAAAGTACCACACAAGAATATTGAAATAGATAAGTGGCATTATTGGCACAAATATATATCTAGGAACCCAATAGTCCCAATAGGTAACAATATTACAAAATGGAGCATATTAGGTCTGGGGCCACAGACCTCGAAGTTGAAAGTGGCTGCGTAGTTGGTGCAAGGCTATGTGAGTGGATGTCTCCCACATTGTAAAGGGATAAGAGAAGCAAGGGACTTATATAGAAGGATTAGCTCACAACTTAATAGCTTAATCTTTTGGGTTAGAAGTGGTGTCCAACTCTTGTGTGTAAGTCTTACACATTGTGAGAGCTCTCAGGTTTTGGCGACTCTCCTCGGTGCCCCCAACAAGTGGTATTAGAGTATGGTTCAGTTGAGCACAAGTTTTAATGAATGCATGTGATGACTCCTATGCCTCTTCTAGTTCCCCCTAGTTGAGTGGTTGGTGACAAGGGTCAACATTTCAACATGATACGCCCTGTATTGTATGTATTGTATCATATCGACAAACCCCCAAAACCCTAAATAAGGGGTGTTTCAGATTTTGACCAGTTTCAAGGGGTAGGCGGGCCTAAAACCGACCCCCTAAAGCAATTTTGAAAAGAACTACTAAAAAAAAAGTTATTAGGTATCGAAACACTCGATACACCTATTCATGCGTATTAGGTGTATTGATACTTTGAACCAAGGTTGGTGAGAGCAATTGGGGAGTGGTTCGTAAGAGTGGTTGGTGATTCCCATGGCCTAACCCACCCATGGTTGAATGGGGATGACTCTCTCCCTTGGCAACTAGTGGTTGAGTGTGGGCTCCTTATAATGATTGTAAGCTTACACAAAGGGGGGGTTTGTTAGGATTCACATGTGAGTGAATGTGTCCCACCTTGGAAAGGGATAAGAGAGGCAAGAGACTTATATACAAGGATTGGCCCACAACATAATAGCTTAAGCTTTTAGGTTAGAGGTGGTGTCCAACTCTTGTGTGTACGTCTTGCGCATTTGTGAGAGCTCCTAGGGTTTGGCAACTCCCCACTATTCCCTCAACAATTTAGTCATCAGTATGAGTGAATCAATTGATCTTGTTCCTCAAAACTAAAAAAAGTTCATAAAACTCTCAAATAATACACTTCAATCACCCTACAAAATGAAGTAATTCAGGAAGTCTAGAAACAGGTTCTACAATATGTTCATATCTTCCACATCAAATCGCATACCAGAATTTGCAGTGCATGACATTTTACATTCCCAATTTTTATATAAAATTAAAAACCACGGTTTCTTTTGTTTTGTCATTTGTGTTGTAGGCTTGTAGCAGCTGAAAATTTGATGTGTCCATTTGTGGTTCAAAGATAAAACTGCCAAAAACACAGAAGCTGCCAGTGGGTTTGGAAACATCTAACCACAAATGTCTTGCCGTGTACCTTGCTCAATAATGATGTCAATCACCAGGGCAAGAGGTATGTGCTTCTCAATCTTTATAACTCCCCAAAACGGCAAAAATGAAGGTCTTGAAACCTAAGAGAAGTACTTTCATTAGCTCCATATCATGTTAAACACAAAAAGAAGACTACAAACTGATAATACAAAGATAAAATATATGAGAAAAGTACCTTATAAACTATCTCGTCAGGTGTAACATACAACTTCCTTGAGAAAATATCCTTTTGAAGTACATATCTTCGAACAGGCAGGTACAGAAGCATAATAATTCCAACTCCCCAGGCTAAAACAAGAAGTAGCGCTATAAGGATCCATATTACCGTGTCATACTGCATGTGGCTTTCCGCCAGTTCCTCAAACGAAGCTCTGTACAAAATCCTCCCAGGAATTTCTGCTTCTTCATCATCAAAATCAGCTACAGGATCTGCAAGTAGGAGCTGATTCGATGAACTATGTTCCCGTAAACCGATTGCATGACCCGTCAGCATTCCTTCAAGCGGAAAACAAGCAATAAATACTTAAAATCAGTAAAAGAAATCCAAAACTTTTCACAAAAACATAAGGATATAGAATTTTCAAAAAATAAACGTGTATAGTCGGACTGAATTGAGCTCGTGAATTCTATAATGACAAATGCTAGGCAGAAAACTATTTAGCCCTCTAAGGAGAAGCGGCACTGAGGATCATTTTATTGAGCAAAAGCTTTGGAATGGAAATTGCACAACCATAGTACTAAAAAGTAACATTTGAGATAAGTTTATCAGATCTAATACATTTTCAAGCAGCTACAACAGAGAGATTATTTTGTTATCATTACTTATACTCTTTTGATATTTTCTTCTCTCTTCTTTGCCATTTAGTACACAGTAAGGACTCATAAAAATATCGAATTGCATACCGTTTTCGAAAGGTTTCATAAGAACATACGCGATCGTTGAATGGCGAAGTACAGAAAATTAGTAGAACTCGTCAGCGAGTCGAGAAACTTGCATCCAGAAGAGTTGGACGGAAAGGAGTTGAGTTTAAAGATCAGGAAATTTCTGTTAGGGTTTGCATGTTCAGATTTGAAGGAATTAGGATGACCTTCAGCTGCTATTATTGGCGGTTTGGTGCTTCAATCAACAGACCGATGGCCGAGCTACCAGTCATGGCTGTGTTTTAAAAAGATGCAACCCCATTGAAGTTGCTAGACCTGGAATTTGGTGTATTATCATCCTTTGGCCAAATCAACGGTGGAGGATGCCACGTGTAGGCGAATGGAACACAACGATGTATGGTCCCAGCGTGGATATTGTGGGCCAGAGAAATATGCTTGAAACGCGAGTACACGAGCACTGTACGCTATTTTATCGCAAGCGTAATTCTGGAGGTGTAAATCGGGCCGGGCCGCGGGCGGCCCGGCACGACCGCTAACGGGCCATGCCAGGCCCGGTACGGAGCTTTGTGCCATGCTGGGCCGGGGTTTGAGGCCCATGGGCCGACATGGCACGGCACAACAGCACGTGCCATGTCACTCGCAGCCCGCATGTCGGTACAGCCTAGCCCGCAGCATGGCATGTCCTGCCAGGCCCATAACGGGCCGTGTTCGGCCCACTTGGGAATATAGCCGTTGGGCTCCCAACGGCTAGTTTCAGCTTTTAGGGGAGGTTTACAGAAATACCCCCCAATAACTATAAACAGACATTTGGGGGGTACTTCTGTATTTTGCTTATGAGGGCTTGAAAAAATGACATAAATGTGCCCCCAACAACTATATAATAACTAGTTTAGGGGGGCATTTTGGGTAAAGTTATAAGTAACTTTACAATAACCAAAATACCCCTCCCAAAAACTAAATAATAGATAGTTTTTTGGGTATTTTGGGCAATTGAATTATGTTCAATTCCTATAAATAGCCCTATCCTCCACCATTCTCATCACACCAATTCAACAATTCTCTTAATTCTCTCTCTCTCATACTCATACATTCTCAATTATCTGCAATCTGAGAAATTCTGATTAGTTGATTGTCTGATTCTGCATTCTCCAATTCTCAAGTCTCAAATTTATCAAAGTTTTAACTTTCAACAAGAAGAAGGCTTGCTCAACTAGCTCAAGTATCTCAATTCGGGAGGCTAGGACGTTGAAAGGCTTCAACCATTGAAATCAAGTTGGGATTTTGAACCGGCAATCCGGGTAAGTCGAATTATATTAACTTTTATCTTTATAGAATTAAAAAAAAATGGTCGGCCCTTCTCAAAATCGATTCCCCAACATGTTCACCATGGATGACATTCAATCGCATCACGATAGTATTAGTGTTAGCATTGATGCCAATGCGTTTGATGTCGATGGAAGTGTAACTTTCACCCCCGATAGTAGTGATACTAGGGGGAAAAGGAGGGCTTCTAAGTTGAGTAGCCCAATTTGGAAAGTTTTCAAAGTAGAAAATATTGAGGGGAAGGGGAAAATGGCCGTTTGCCAAAAATGTAAGAAAGACTTTAGTTATTGTAGCAAGGGAGGTACGGGTCATTTGAGTAGACATTTGCTCACACATGAGCGAGAGAAAAATGAATGGAGAGAAACAACCCAAACACAAATTGGGAGGGGGACTAGTTTTGGTACATTTAGATATTCACAAGAAAAAAATTAGACAAGAACTTGCTAAGTATATTGTACATGCAGAACAACCAGTTAAGTTAGTTGAAGATCCAAAAGTAGAAAACTGATTGCGTAGTTCTGTAAACCCACAATATAAAAAAGTTTATAGGAATTGATGCTGCACGATCCGGGCACTCCTAGCTGGCTGCTGACTGGCTCCTTGTTGGCAACGGATGGCACCTGAGAAGATGGAAAGAAGGATTCCCGGGGATTTACCCGGTGTGAATACTCCGAAGCTTAAGTCAGAACGCTGGGGAAGGAGAAAAAAGAGAGTGCAAAAGCTAAGAGTGTAGGTCGCACTTTATCAATGTGCTCAAGAGATTAGCTCGCGAGTAGGTAAAGACTCAGGTTTAGGATATGAGTGCTGAAGTATTCAAAAGTCAGAGAGAGAGCTTCTCTTTTGCCTCATGGGCTTTTATAGGGAAGGTACTGTCAAATCGAGTGTAACCGCCACTGGGCCCCTGCCGTAGCCGTTACCTGCCAGGGTTGCGCAGGTGATCTTTGCAACATATCTCTTGCTCGGATGAGTGACACGTCTTAAAGGGGCAGGCACGCTTCCGCCTACTAAGAGACGTGGGTGCAGACTGATGAAAGGACAGGGACTGCACTGTCAGTTAAGAAACGTGGCACAGACTGATCGATACAGTTTGTCAGGTAGAAGCTTCCTGAGAAACGTCCGTGCCGCTCACTCGCGAGCTACTTTGTAGCGAGCTTAGGAATACTTTGAGGTTACCCTTACTAAGGTTGTTCTCTGGGGTGACTTATCCGCTCGGGGGCTGGAGCGAGCTGATTTCCCTAGTACGCGAGCTAAAGCAGTCTTGGAGTATCCCCTTCTGGGTAGCTCGGGGAACCCGGAGCTCGTGTTGTAGCGAACACCTACAACGAACTATGATATAGCGAGCTGCTTTATGGGCTCGTTACTTAGCCGTCGTCAGGCTATGATGCTAGCTATTGCCCATGCTGAGTCAGGTCCACGTGTCATCATTTCATAGGTCGGGTCAAATCATCCTCCATCAATTTCCCCCCACTCCTCGAGCTAAGAGTGTTGCCTTAGCGCAAAGAGTTCATGAAGTATGATGGACTGATTTGACCAAAATTCAACCTTGATTGACTGCTCACATTAAATGCGTTCACGGGAATCGAGAGATTTTTTGAGCTTTTTGTATTCCGAAAGTGTGCTGAGGTGGCTTTTAACTCTGGATGTCGTGCAGTCGTCATTACCTCAATCATGGGGGACGTGTAGCCAACCGCTTTTCGGTTTCAGAAGTCGTGCGGTCTGCACACCTGCGAACCATCCGATCTGCCTTAATCTGGGCCGTTGATTCGGAGGCACGAAGTCTATAAATAGGAGGGCCCTCTGGGTCTCACTCTCTCATGCCATCTTGCTGTCTTCGGATTCTGAGGTCGCACATCTGTCAAGTCTACTCGAGTTCCTCACTTTACTTCATCCCATCCTTTTCAGTGAGTCTCGATCACTATCAGTCATGTCTGGGTACCCGTACCATAGTCGCCACCAGGGCGGTGGCCAGGGTGATGATGCTCCCTCGAGTTCGGGGGGAGCTTGGGAACAGGGCCCGGGGGCCCAGGAGACCTCCGGCAACGGAGCCTCCACTTCCTGGGGAAGGGAGCTCGATACTTTCGGCCCTTCCTCTATGATAGAGGGGAGGCTTAGGTCTTTAATCAGCTATTTCCACCTCCCCAGGGACCTTGTTTACTGCCTTCCCACCGGTAACTTTCCGTGGGAGCATGGTCCCAACGAGATAGTTATCTATCAGGAGCAGCTCGAGGCTGGCCTGCGTCTCCCCCTGCACCCCTTGATAGTGGAAGTGCTAAACCACTTTAACGTCACTATCGATCAGCTTCATCCCAACGCCATTCGGAACATGGTTGGGACTATATCCTTGTGTTGTGAATATTGTATTCCTTTGAACCTCAACATTTTTTCTGCTATCCTCTGTATAAAAAATGCCACTCCCGGGGCTCCACCAGAGAGGCGTCTCTACTACTTCTCTACCCGTCGTGGCTACAAGCTCTTATATGAGCTTTCGAATAAAATTCCCGTCTAGAAACGAGATTATTTTTTGGTCTGCAACCCTGAAAGGTGGCCTTTCCCTACTTCTTGAAGGGGCGCCATCTAGGACTCCGTGGTCAAGCTGGACCCTGATACTCAAAAAATGATGATGTCCTAGGCATCAGTTGGCTTCCTCTGTTCGGATTATTTGACTGAGGAAAAGCTCGTGCAGGCCGGCCTGAGCCCGGGTAGGTTGCCTCTTTAGGTCGCGTAGTACCTTGTCATAATGTTGTGTATATACGTATACTTTGTTCTTACCGAACTAATACCTTATGGTTTCTTCTTGGCAGCCATCATGTCTGGTGTTGACTCGCGCCATCTTCTTTCAAGCAACCAGAGGCGCAAAGTGAAGAAGTCGCGCCCCGACCAGACTCTCCCCTCTAGGGGTACTGAGTTCGGGTCTGTTGAGCCAGGCTTCACCTCTCCACCGCCCGAAGTTCTGCCACCCCCATCCGAAGGAGGTGCTGACGGGGCCAGCCTCGAGGAGGGCGAGCTCTCGTAGCAAGAGGCAGTCCCCTCGGGTTCCTCTCAGTTGTTTCCCTATCCGCAGTTCCCAGTGGGGAACTGGGAGGGCGTAAACGACTTCGTTGTGGCTCGTTGGAGGAGCCGAAGAGCGATCTGCAACGAAGAGGTCGCTAAGTGAAAAGCGATGGAGCCTGGGGATCTCGCCATGCTTTCCGCCTCCCACTGTATGGTGGTAAGTGGTCCTTTTCTTATCCTTCGTCTTTCCTTCCTTTTTTGTTGTCCTCTGACTCCGGTCTCCTTTTGGCAGGTAAACACCACCATACATGCCATGGCCCTTCAGACGCATGTCCACTCCTGCGATGCTCATAACCAGAAGGTCAACATTCAGAAGTTCCAGGGCGAGCTCGACCGGACTCGGGGCGAGCTCCTTCACACCCGCAAAGGGACTGAGTCACAGGAGCTGCTCGTTCGAGACCAGGAGGCACAGATTGCCAGGCTTTCTGAAGAGAGTGCGTGCTACAAGGAGTCGTCGTCAAGGGTGGCATCGGAGAGGGAGCTCCTTCGCCAACAGGTTCGGGACTTGGAGTCCACTCTTCTGGACCAAACTCGGAACTTCGCCAACCGGCGGTCTGGGACTTCAAAGACTCCCAGGAATATCATGACCTCCAGGTAGAGTATGGCTTAAGTTCGTACCGGTCCAGGTTCAAGCTCTGCCGGTGGTTTGTCCGAAAGAAATTCTCTGGTTTCAACCTCGACGGCATCACTATGAAGGGCCTGTCTCCCGAGACGGCGGACCAGGCGGAGGAAGAGGAGCCTGACTCTCCGAAGGATGAGGAGGAGGCAGATCCCTGAGGCTTCGGCGGCATTTGATCATCTGCTTTGACTTCTAGTGGCTCCCAGGTGCCATAAACCCGGTCTTGAAAGGATCTTTGGTTGGGCAGTTGTGCCCTTTTACTTTCTGTCAAACTTTTTTGAGCTT